ACCAGCTACGTCGCTGGACGTTTGGACCGCAAGCAGGGAGAGAGGCGTCCTCTTCCAGTGCATTGGACTGTCGTGACGCAACACGCCTTCTTTGGACGGAATGCCGGTGAAATTATGAGACACGCACGATCCAAGACGTTATGTCGTAGTCTAGAGCTACCTAGACGTAGACAGGCGAGAGGACGGGAACGTCCATCGCCAATGCTTGTTGGTCGACTTGGCCTTCGAGGAGCTTGGCGATCCACGTGTCGAGCACGTCGATCGTCACGTCCGACGATGGCGGCATGACTGCGCACTTGGCTGTGTTGTTGACAATTGCGATCAAGAAACCTAAGAAATGCGATTTCACATGCTAAAAAATGCGAAAAATAAGTACCGTCGTCGTGCCGGAGGCCTTGCTGCTCGAAAAACGCAGCCCACATGTCCCGCATATCGCCCGTCTCGGCGTCGCACCACGTGCACGTCACCGGGTCCCGCGCCACGGCCAAGGCCACGTGCTCCATGAGTCGCCATTGCTGCAGCGGGCTGCAAAACACCGGGTCGGCCCGAACACAAAAGACGAGCGTGCGGCGTCCCCGGCGCGACAGATGCGCGCTTGTCAGCTCGGCCACGTGCGGGGCGTACGTAGCAGCAAGCGACTGGAACGGGCTGGCGCTGGTCGGCAACTTGGGCGGCGGCGATGGCGCTTGTGCCCGGGCTGGAGGTGGCGACGTCGCTATAGGCTCTTCTGGCTGAAGCTGCGACCAGAGAAAGGCAACGAGAAGCCCCACAATGATGAGCACGTACAGCATCGACCCGCCGCCGGCGTTTTGGCGTGGCGTCGAAGTGTACTGGTACGAGTAGTATTGCTGGTGCTGCTGCTGGTGGTGGTAGTGGTGCTGGTAATGCGACTGTTGCGACTGCTGCGACTGCTGCGAGTAGGACGACGAAGGCTTCTTGGTCAGCGCCTCGTATGCGGCTTGGATCTCGACAAACTTGGTTGTCGCGGCTGCGTCACCGCCTGTCTTGTCGGGATGGTACTGAATCGCGAGCTTCTTGTAGGCGCGCTTGATGTGTGCTTCGGACGCGCCTCGGCGGACGCCCAGCGTCTGGTACGGGTCCATCGCAGCCATCGCGAGCGCGGCCAGGAGCAGCAGCCCGACGCCGACGAGCCGGGCCATGCTGCACGAGCAAGGTGCGGGCGATGAGGTGTAACGATGTCCGGATGGTATGCGGATTGCGGCTAAACGCACGCCACCTTAGCCAGCCGCAGCCAAGTGCAAAGTGGGGTTGCCATCTCGCGACTGTGTACATCTCTGCTGTTCGATTGGGTAATACATGATGCAATAGCGGGGCTATGAACTACTGCAATAGACGTTGAGTCTTGCCATCATGTACACCGCGCAGTCAATACATGCAGATACCATTCCGGTCGTAGTCGGTGCAGGTCAAGGACTGTTTAACATTTTCTTGCACTGGAATAGTCTGGCTCGACGGCTGCTCGAAATCACGGCTGGAAGATGCGCAGCACTCTGATTGGCAGAGCAGCAATGCTGGTGTCAGGTGGAGAGTGTGGGTTCAGGTGGAGAGTGTGTGAGCTGTTGCAGCTGCAGCTACTCGATTGCCATCGACAGCGTTTGTCAAACTAAATCCTGTACATGTCGTGAAATACAGCGTTGGTGTAGACCGTTGTCATAGATGAGTGCTATTAATTCGTTTAACCGGATATGTCGAAAGTGCTACTATTGGCTTGGTGTACGGACCGGCTGCTTCGCCTCACATCATGGTCAGTTGGTGTAGACCGAGATTAGCAATCGTATTCTTTCCGAGCTCGAGTACACTGTTGTTCTTGTTGTTCTTGTTGTTGCTGGTAGTGGTGGTGGCGAAATGCTGGTTTGATCACGATGAGCCATGAGCTTGCTGGTGACTAGGTGGGACTCGCACACTGAGCGCATCCTTCAGTCAACGCCTTTCACCACGGTTACGGACTTCGACGGCGACTGCGTAACCAAGTACTGGTATGTGTTCATTGGATCATCGGACTTTCACATTGACGACACGACGTCTGAACTTCTTCTCGTTGGGGGCTTGATTCTTGCTAAAGGCATTTAATTGTTGTGTTACGTCTCGTGAATACTACAACATGGCGCTGTCTGGCCCCACGTAGCAGCTCCAGAATCGAGTCTGGTCGACACCGTGTCCCTGCGTTTCAGAAGCCTCTCTCGTTCCAGATGGTGAGCATGTCACGCCCTATGTACGTGGGGGTAGGGGTATGCACCACGCCAGTGCTACGACAACATTCATCGACTGTATAGTGTACGACTCTATATTACTCCCAGCCTGCAAAAGGCCGGTGCCTTGTTTGAATCGTGATATATGTGTCAACTGAACCAGCATTGTACCATCCGCAGTCAAGGACATAGCGTATCTTCCACGGCATCGAAGCATTGACGACCATTGATCACAAGCAAGATTAACAATAGATCACTAACGTTAGTAAGAAGACTCGAATGATCGACCACCGTCAAAGCCTCGGCGCCTCTCCTCGGTATAGAGCATTGGGTGTAGAGAGCGCCTCGGTGTACGGGGTACAGACATCCTCTGCGTTAATTGACAACCGCGTTAATTGACAAAAATAAGCCCGTGTTCAGTATACCAATACAAAATATGTGTTGTGTTACAAGCAGAACTTATTATCTTGCATTCATCAGTATTTACATAGATATACCAAGTAGGATTACCAACGCCACATGTCGTTCCAGGGCCTATCGTACGGCTGGCATTGCTCTAAAATGCCCAACACATGGGTAGAATCCCATGCTTTTCAGATCTTTTGTCAATTAACGCAGAATATGTCTGTATCAAATCATTTATGCGCCTGCGATTACAATGCTTCTCAAATACCAGGATTGTGTCGGAATTCCATACGACGTTGCCCGTAATGCAGGTGGTTGCATCCGAATCCGTGCTGGACAGCGTGCCACGTCATTGTGCGTGGTCGTGCTGTGAATACAGGGCACATATGTGGCTTTTTAGAACAGGGAGGGCGGAAATGCAGCGCGTAGGGACACCGCCACCACCACCCGTCGTCTAAAGATCGGGCGCCGTTAGGGTAAAGTAGCTCTAGTGTAGGGTTACCAACCAGCGCTTGCCTTGCCTGTGAGCAGTACGTAGAATGAACCACCAGTGGAGAACGGTCGCACATTCCCATTTCGCTTGCAGCGCACACTCATGGCTATCAACCCGCCGGTTTCGATGCTGCACGACACGGAAACGACGTCGTCCGTCGTCGCATGGCGCACCGACGACGACTACGTGGAAAAAGATGACGTTGCGGTGGCGTCGGCCAAGCGCCGGCGCTTGCTTGCCGTTGTCGCCGGCCTTGTGCTCGTCGCGATCGGCGTCACGACAACGCTGCTCGTAACAAGCGGCGCCAACGACGCTTCGGCATCGTCGAACGTGGTGACGACGGCACCGACGCCGGCACCGACCGCAACGACCAACAACACCGAGTCTATTGTGAGCGCTGTGGGCGCACTACCGCTAACTATTGAGCCACTAAACAGCTCGTACGCGGTTGAAAGCACCAACGTGAACGCTACGGCGTCGCCGACCCCGAGGACCGAGACACCGGCGCCAACAACCAAGACCCCGGCGCCGACAACCGAGACCCCGGCGCCGACAACCGAGACACCGGCGCCAACGACGGTGACACCGGCACCGACAACGAGCACACCGGCACCGACGACGGTGACACCGAAACCCACGACGACGACGCCCCCGGCCGCCCCGGGTGTCCCCAAGAACGCGATTCGCGTCCAAAACAACTGCGGCATGGCGGTCGAGCTCATGTACATTCTGCGCGTTGGCGCCAAACATACCATCTACTACGAGCCCATCTCCAAGGACGGCTACTACGACGTCCTCGGGAGCCGATACGACGGCGGCACCCTTCGTATCGGGCGCTCCGAGAGCGCGACGTGTACGGCATCATTGGGTCCATGTTTAAGGGGCTCAAAGCGACGTATCTAGTGTTTGAGTTTGGCCATGGCGAAGGCAAGCACTGGTACGACATCAGCGTTGTGCCGCCAGGGGTACGACTTTCGATACCCACTTTAGTCCTTATGGTCATATTGCCTAGTGCGACTCTGGCCACCACTCGTGGAAGGAGTGTATGGACTACAACCACGGGCGCACGGGCTACAATGTGCCAATGAAGGTCGAGGTGCAGTCGTATACCAACCACGACACGTTTCGCTGCCGTAACGTCGAGTGCCGCCACGAGCAGTGCGATGAGGGCTACCAGTTCCCCGGCGACAACCTCAAGTGCATGGACTGCGCCCACGACGAGTCGTTTCTTGTCACTGTCTGTTGAAGTCGACTACGAGTGATCGATTGAAATTTTTCGACAGGATATTCGAGTACTTGTTGAATCTATACATCATTGCTGGTTTGGCTTTACCGTCACGCAGTCATCTATCGGTGCTTCCTGTCGAGAGAGCTCGCGCTACTAGGACTAGTATTCCCAGGTTGACGTTTGGTGTGCGAGATGGCTGGATTGTTGCGTGCGCACAGCCATCCCGTCCGCGTACTTTATCGAGTCAATATAAAAAGCAAGGTTCTCATCAATGACGTTGCGCACTTAATCGAGCGCAAAAGCGAATTTAGACCAATCGCATGTCTGCTTTGGCCGCGCGGGGTTTGGATTGGGTAAAATTGCTGTACGATGCGTGTCAATGTATCAAATTGCTCGTCCGGGTCCACGACGACCTCGGGAACCCCGATGTGCTTTGAGTAAACACGTATCTCGACTGGTCGTTTAGTCTAGTGTACTATGAATATACAACTGGTCGAACATGCACAGTCGAGTACTGGACGGACGGTCTGGTTCTGATAACCTGGCGGGCATCGCACCTGATCACGCAGCACGCATCGACATTCCTCCCAACCCAATCGCATGCCGTTGACACCACCGTTCGCAATACACTTACGACAAGACTGCAGCTTGCCGCCTTGTAAGCTGCCGTGTGCCCCTACCCTTCACGCCACGGCATTTCGTCTTTTGGTGTAGTCGATCAATTCGGGTCCTATGCATAAAACCAAAGCGCAATAAAACCAGCGTGGCACGAACCAGAGCCATCGCATGAACGTTGGACGACCCACGACGAGACGCGGTGGAGATGGGTGTGCGACCACGTTGGACGACGCGTGAGTCGCTCTCGGTCGACGACGACAACAACCCGGTTCATTACCCGTTTTACTCGCGCTCGAGCAGCGATGGCGGTCGAGTCGCCCATTTCAACGATCGATGGCCACGGGAAGCGGTCGTCGGTCATCGTTTGGCGCATGACGGACGAGCGCGAGTACATGGAGAAGGACGACGTCGCCGTCGCCTCTGCTCGGCGGCGCCGCCTCCTCGTCGTTGTCGCTGGCCTTGTCCTTGTTGCGATCGGTGTGACGACGACGCTGATCGCGACGAGCGGCGCCAAAGAAGCCTCGACAGCGTCAGCGTTTGCACTGACGTCCACCACGAGCCCGGCCCCGGTTATTCTACCGCAAGACGCCGATAAGAACACAGAGGCGTTTGTCGCGATTGTCGGGACACTGCCATCGACGACGACCGAGCCGCCAAACGAACCGCACCTGATCGATTCGAGCACCCATCGGACACCGACACCGACGGTCAACGCCACGACAACCCCGGTGCCAACAACCGAGACACCGGCGCCAACGACGGTGACACCGGCACCGACAACGAGCACACCGGCACCGACAACAGTGACACCGAAACCCACGACGACGGCACCGCCGCCCGCCCCGGGTGTCGCCAAGAATGCGATTCGCGTCCAAAACAACTGCGACAAGGACATTGAGCTCATGTACATTCTGCGCGTTGGCAACAACCACCCGGTTTACTACGAGCAGATCAAGAAGGGCGGGTACTACGACATTGACGGCACCCGGTACGACGGCGGCACCCTTCGCGTCGGGCGGTCCGAGAGCGCAACACGTACGTGCTGCCACGTCCATGTGCTCGTCTGACGATTGACATGGCTAGTCTTTGAGTTTAGCCACGACCTCGGCAAGCACTGGTACGACATCAGTGTCGTGCCACCGGGGGTACGTTCGAGCACTATTCTTACGTGACGATGATTCTCACCGAGCAATTCTAGTGCGACGATGGCCACCACTCGTGGAAGGAGTGCATGGAGTACAACCACTGGCGCACGGGCTTCAATGTGCCAATGAAGGTCGAGGTGCAGTCGTTCACCAACCACGACACGTTTCGCTGCCGCAACCTCGAGTGCCGCCACGAGCAGTGCCCCGATGCGTTCTTGTACCCGGCCGACAACCTCAAGAATATGGACTGCCCGTACGACGAGTCGTTCGTCGTCACAGTGTGCTAAGTCCACCCTCTTTAACCAACAACAAAAAATCTACCATTTCCAAGCACTGCATCTGCATACTGTAGCAGACGCGTGGCGAGTCATCAAGTCGCCGATGATGGAATCGATACAAAGGCAGCAAACGTCGATTCAGGACTCCTGTCGATAGCACGCGCATATGTCTTGCCTCGTGCGAAAGAGAGGTGCTAATGCATTTCCTCGTTGCAGAGAGTAAGCAAGTTGCCAACGAACACCAAACGGCGAGTGGCTCCGTGAGGCCCGCCCACCACCATGGACAGCGGTGATTTCTCTCGCTAAGATACCAGCTCTTCAGTTTATAAACGCTGTCGAATGCTTCCGCGCACGTACGCGTCAAACTTTCAGCGTTGAGCTTACTAAGTGTCGACGAACGCAAAAACGTTATATCTATCTATACTAGTATTCGCGCGGTTACGCTC